ACAAACAGAGAAATATGACTGGTTATAGCAACAAAAGAATGAGGTTTTACATGTACAGAATTAGGGGTGCACTAATAGAGATTTGGGGGGCTGATATTGATAGCCAGTTTTCAAGGAGGCATATCAGCCAATACCAACCCGATTTTTGATACAGCTGCATCTGTAGCTGAGTTTTCCTCCACCCCATGGTTGGTCAACCTGCAAGCAACCTTTTGTGTCAGCTTTTGCGATTGGGCATCCTCATGAAGTCGAGAACACCTAGCGACTGGGAGCATCGATCTACTATATACCTGGTCGAAGCTCAGGGCGCAAGCCCTAGCGAATCTGATCAACTGTTGCTGCAGAGAATGCCCGAAGAGTGAATCAAGTTTGGGTTCCTCATAAACCATTCTGGGCTCACCAAACGACAGCTCCGAATCCTGGGAGACGCAGGCCAATGGCAACTGGCCTACGATCTGGGTTTTCAGTATCCAGACAAGCCAGACGACAACTCCTCAACGTTGTCATCGATGTTTTCGTCTTGCTGAGCATGGATAGAACCCCGCGGTGTTTGCCATCCACTTCCGCGTCACCCCCGGGGGTTTTTCCCACCCGCTCCCGCGTCGGTTGTATCCATGAGCATGCAGGAGAAAAATCGTCTAAAGCGGAGCCGTGCCCGAGCACCTGTATTGTGTGCTGTGAAAAGCGGGAATCAGCGGCAAATCTTGCTGACTGCCCCATCGCGCGTGGTTCCATGTAAATATTGTAATATAGGTTAATTTATCATTTTGAGGATTTTCTTTTTACAGGTCCAGGACTCAGAGTGCGTGGTGGAGGGAAGTCCTGAGAGAGAGAGATGGAGAACATCATTGAAGAGGCGAGGACTTGACTCGTGACCTCGCCATGACGCCCACTGAAGTCCTGATAGTTGAATTTCTGGTTATGAACATAATTATGTGTCTGTGTGTTAGTGCCGGTTATTATCTAATTTGGTCCTTTGAGGACGAACTTATTTTGTTGTCTGAATTTGTGTTTAACCGTTTAACTTACGAACCAGCCGAGAGAGCTCATAACGACTCACATGACGTGCATGTGGTTTAAATTCCAGTTGTGCAATCGGCAAGGGGGCATGTCATAACCCAATGATTTTTAGTGCCTCGGCACATTGGAATTTTCCCGCCACATGGAGCTTTCTTTGCACGGTGGATTTCTCAGCTGCAGAGAGAAATCCCCGGTGCAAAGAGTTCCCGCCACACACATGCAAATTTGTAGCTCATTATTGGCTGATTCTAAATTATTTCTACGTGGCAGCTAGCAATTGGCTCGCTAGCCGTATAAAAGGTTAGAGCACTTCCGCCCAAGTTGGAGGACTCCACAACTATCTCATGGGGAACTCTGAGCGCGCTCTGGAGCCTAGCAAACTCCGCCTGTGTCTTGGAGGAGAGAGAGGCCTGATCAGCTCTTAGCCACTCCCCGTCATAGTGTAAATTTGATGTATCCCCCGTGTGAAGTGCTCGTGGAGTCGTATATCGATGACTCATCTCGGTTCGGTGCGGTTTGGAAGAGATCTCACTTGTGTTTGTTTGTCTGCAACCGCAACTCAAGCAAGTTTCCTCCCTGCACTGTGACCATCGGCAGTGTAAGTAAAGCTTTCTTTATAAAACCAATACGCTTCCGTGCCTAACTCTACTCCATCGTGGAAAAACCCCACCTGACAGTCCGGGCTACTGGCCATAGCCTCAGACCGACCCTCGGTCCCCACAGCATCCAGCTGATAAGTCTGTTCTGGTGGAAGGGAAGGGGCATGGGGGAACAGATCAAGTCCCCTGCAGTGATGGAGGGAGTGGGACTGGGGTTGGGGCTGGGGCAGGTGCTGCCCAGCCAGGGCGGGGCAGGGTGCAGGACAGAGCCACAGCTCATTGGGGGGTGGGCGCAGGGCGGGGGGGCGCATCTCCCACCACTGCACACACCCAAGGAGGGCATGGGGGGGCTTGTACCCCCAGATCTGCATGGGTCAGGGCTGGGTGGGCTGCAGCTGTGGGCTGGTGCCGGGGTGGCATTGGGCTTCCCCTGGCGGGGACTGGGCCAGGTTGCACTCAGGGCAAGTGGCAGAAACACTGGGAGGGAGCCACAGGGGGGGCTACAAACACCCCAAACTTTACTGTGGCCCCCACAACCCCCATTCCTGTGCCACTGCTGCCTGCCTTGAGCACAGCCCCAGCCCAACCTCTGCCCCCCGCATGCACTGGGAAGAGCCCAGCGCTGCCTTGGCCCCAGCCCACAGTGACAGCCCCCCTGCCCATGCTCCATGCAGATACAGAGGCACACATCCCTGTGTGCCCTCCTGGGGTGGGCACAGACGCAGGAACCCCTCTCTCCCCACACCTCCCCAGATGAGTGGCTCTGTCCCAAGTCCCTCCCCACCCCAGCCCCAGCCCCAGCCCCACTCGGGGTATTGATCTGCCTCCCCCCACCCTTCTCTCCCTGTTTCCCATCCACCACAGACTTACCAGTGCATACTGCTCTTCAAGCTGCCGGGCTGTGCTCCTCACTACCAGTGTACTGCACTGAGGATATGCACATGCACAGGCATTTATCAGTCAAATTATTGGCCACATCAGGCCAATTGCCAATGCACTCAGTTTTCTTTGTATCAATGCCAATCCAATATTGGACCAATGTATCGGTGCACCTCTATACAGAATCCTACCTAACTTGAAATGTAAACCATCTTAAATATCTCATTGTTTTAGTATCTTTAGGTGTCACTTGAAATAATAGCAGCTAAAAATTAACAAAACAAATAACCTCTAAATTATGTATGTGTTACAATGATAATCCCCCTTAATACTTTCTATGTAACTTAAATGAATTAGATTTGATACAGTACACACACAGGATATAAAAGTTTGTCTCTCAACACGAATCTATTAAATTGCAATGGGAGGGAAAACAAAATTTTATGCAGTATATACCTCTTCTTGTTAAAACAAATGGATTCAGTTGCTTATTAGCGAGATTTATTTATAAATTAAGGTTTTTATCAAGGTTTGTTTTATCAAGAATTGATATATAAATATGGTGTGAACTACTGAATGTACATGTATGAATTTGTGCAAATGAAAAGTCATAGTGTTAGTTTAAGACATTTGGTGTTTGCAGTTCAGCTTTATTCTGAGCAGCTAAAGGATAGATTAGCTTTTGATCCTTTATGAATGTAACAACCTGGAATGCAATCATTTTTTAAATCTTGTTTTGGTATATCTTTCAAATGCTCTGTGAGTTATCCAGGTCAAAACAAATGTAATACCATAGACAAGTCAAGTTGGATGATTCTGTGGTATTACTGCCAAGACAAAGCTTGTCAGGTTCTTTCAATTGCTAATATGAAGGCTTGCTGTGCACAGCTGGGAATCATATGTTAAACAGGAATTAGTTAAATAGATCCAGGTTTAAAATAGCAAAAAGCAAATTATGGTATATTGTTTTCACACTTCCACATTATCGGTTATGATGATATGTTTAGTACTTGCCATGTTTAGTGACTGATCTTTAATGTCCAATTCATAACCTCCCATAATAGCACATGATCATCTATGCAGTTGCATTGCTATAACGGCGTACAAAGGTGCACATTTCATTGTACAAAGGTGCACATTTTAATGTACAAACTTGACATCTCTTGGTGTATAATCTGGGTTTCCCCCTTCCTTTCTCCAAAATTGAAAGTTATCATAGAATACTGACTGTCACGGCGGGGTCCTATAGGAGGGCCGTGATCTCCTTAAGGCCCTCTCTCCATGCCAATTCGGCCCAAGGGCACCCTCGATTCTCCCCATTCCGCCCAAGGGCCCCCCTCGATCCCCCCCCGCCATGTCTTTGCTGTTTAATATATGTTGGGAGGCTGCCTTACGGCTCCCTGGGCACGGTTAGCTGCGACCTCTGTCCCAGTGTGTTCCCGGACCCCCCTGGGGGTCTCCCAGTATGATGGGTGCTCCCCAGGCACCCTAGCCTTATGGGCTACGCGCGGCTCCTACCATACCCTAATACCACGCTCCAAGCCTCGCAGATGGTCTGGATGTTGTCCTGTCACAAATCAACTTGCCTGCTCTCCCAGGCCTCCTCTGTAGTCTAGCCCACTCTGGGCTCTCTCTAATACACAGCCCCTCACTGGGACTTTCGTCAAGCCCACTCTGGGCCTTCTCGAAAAGTGTTGTCCCGCTCAGGGACCCTCTAGTGGGTCTCCGGTCCTTTAGGTCAACCACACGGCTACCCTCTCTGATCCCGGCTCACCACACTGCTATCCCCTTTCTCTGGGGACCACTGCAGCACCTTGCCTTTCTCCTGGGGCGTTGTACTACTAACCCCTTCCGTCAGGGTCCACCGCAGCACCCTGCCCCTATCTGAGGGCTGTTGCCGCACTAGCCTACAGCCGGGCTCGCTATGCCCGTCTCGGGCTTCTCAATATTATCGCCCCCTCTCTGGGGCTCACTGTGCCCACACTGGGCTCCTTAATAATGGTGCCCCCTCTCTGGGCTTGCTGTGTCCACGCTGGGCTTCTCTAAAGTGCACTCCCCGCTTCCTGGGGCTCGCCACGCCCATGCTCGGGCCTCCTCATAGCGCCCCCTCCTGGGGCTCGTCATGCCCACGCTGGGGCTTCTCAAAATGCCCCTCTCTGGGGCTGGGGTCTGCACACCCCGCAAGTTGCGCCCTCACTGGTGCTAGGGTCCCACCCCCTGTGGGTCCCTATGAGGTTCAGCCGCTCCTCTCTGAGCTTAACTGACCCCACAATTTTGCCCTGCAACTCTCAGGGCCTAGTGCACCCTCACTGGCTCTGGGGGCCCCACTTTACCATGAGCCCCCCTATGAGGCCTCCTCCAACCCCTACAGCCTCGCCCAAACCACCGGTGTAATAGCATAGCAAAAGCATACTGCAAGCCTCCTGGCCACAACTAAAACATATGGCACCTAGCCACTACAAAGTAAGCCGCCTGGCTATAACTTAGCACCATTGCTCCAACCTTTGGAGCTCTCAAGAGCTGTACTTGCTGTTAGGCTTTTCCTCCCATCCTAACTGCAGGAGCTCCTGCCCCTCTGGCTGCTGGCCGGGAACTGCCAGCCTGGCCTTGACTCTTGGCTTTATAGGAGCCAGGCCCTGCCCCCTACAGGCAGCTGACTCTTATTAGTTGCCCTGGCAACCCACAGCTGTGCTCATTATCTCTGCTAAGGCTTTTCCCCAGCAGTTCTCCCCTCTCTAGGAGCGGGGCAGCGAGGTGCGCCGTAACACTGACATCAAAGATAATTTTGCCTGTTCAGCTGAGCCTCAATTATTCATGTAAGTTGATACAAAGGCAATAATACCATTGTCTAGATCAGTGGTTCTCAATTTTTATTTTTAGCAGACCGCTTGAAAATTGCTGAGGGTCTCAGCAGACCACTTAATAAACTTTTTTTTTGTTCTTCAAATCAAAGCACACAACTCATATTTCAATATCAGTAGTCTTACCTTACAAGTACAGATATTCTTGATTGTTCCACAACCTTTCCGTGGACTACCTGAATGAAGCTCATGGACCACAGTTTGAGAACCTCTGGTGTAGATTGTAGCACAAGGTTTGGAGCTCCTGCTACTTTAAGAGCAGTCAGGCTGTGGCTGAGACAGGCTGCAGATGTGGCAGGAAGGCAATTAGGGACCATGCATGAGAAGCAGCCTGCAGGTGTGTCCAGGGCTCATTGTGAAGTCATCTGACTCAGGAGGAGGGCTTGGCTTAGACTGGATATAAGCTCAGGTGCTGAGTTGAGCTAGCAGTAAGATCCTGGAGGCTACTGAAGAAACATTTTCTAAGCAGAATGGCTGTAGCTCCTGAATACCAACACAGAGAGAACAGCCTGCAGTAGTCTGGAGGCCTAGTAAGGGGGTCTAGGATCTTAGACAGGGGCTGAGAGTAAGACCAGAGCCAAGAGTGGGGGCAAAATGTGGGATGAGAGGGATCCACAAGCCCAGACAGGGGTTGAGTGAGAGACCAAGGAGTCTGAGTGCCCAGAGAGGAGCTGAGTGAAGGACCAGGGGCTCTGAGAGCCCAGGGGGTATGAGTGTGGGACCTGAGGATCTGATAGCTCAGAGCAGGGCTGAGAACATAGGGAGAGAGCATCAGAGAGTGACACTTGCAAATTATGGGGCGCAGTGTAGGGGCAGATGAAGCCATGCAATTAACCCATACGACAATGACCACAGGTACTTGGTGATCATTAGACTTGAGGAAGCCCTGGGGCAACTTCCCTTATATAAAAGTGTAGCAAAACCCCCAATTTTTCTTTTTTTTTTTTCTTTTAAAATGCATTCCCTCCCCTTCCCCAACCATTTCTGACTTTTTCTCTCCCTCTCTCTTCCCTATAGATAAGTATAAGTGAGCTATGACATAGGATAAGCTTCAGCATTTTATTTTGGTAGCAAGTTGTATTTGTTTAGTTTTTTGTCCTTCTTTATATTGTATAATTATGATGCTTACATTGATTTTTACTGTTCTACATTACTGTTTTACTGATACTATATGATTTAGACCTACATATGTAAGTTAGCACAAGTCATGTCAAGTTTCTATTTTGTTTGTCAAGTCTTCATCTTGTTCTCCATGCCCTGTTGTATATCCTATGGCTCAAACCTACCCCTCCTATGTAACTTGGTTCCTGAATGAATGGGGATGAATAAGGGTGCTTGAGAGACAATGGCAGTGGGTCTAAAAATAGCTCCCTTTGAATGACTAAACCATCAAAACCAATACCTGGACCAATGACCCAGCCATTGGAACCACCCTCAGCATTCAAGAAACAATAAATATGGCAACCCACCATTGTGCCAAGGCTGCATATGTTCAATAAGAACACCTGGAGCCCTCTGGAACATGACTAACATTGCCTGGACAGGCCCTCCCCATAGGAGATCAGAGGTAGTCTGCCCCATAAAAAGGGGTAGTGAAGACTGACTCTTTGGGACGCCCTCTCCATCTGGACCAGCACCATGCCACACCACCTATCCACCTAGAGGCTCTGCCGGCAACCTCCCTCTGGACACCTGCTGGAGAAAGAACCCCTTTCCAGCCTGAATAGGTAGCTATCACCCCCACCCTCTCTTCAACCAAGGACTTGGACTCTGTTTCTCTTCCCTACCTGGACTTCAACCCTTCCACTAAGTCTCTCTTTCTCCTGCTGCCATTATGAGTGCTTGTGTGTGTATGAACCAATAACTTCATGGGGCTGTGTAGTGTGTTGTCTTTTTAATAAACCTGTTATTTTGAAAACCCAACTTGGGTTTTTGTCTGTTTTCTGACTGTTTCTTCCTTGCCACCACTTATCTGCCCCCAAATTACCATCTGTCTGCCTCGTTTCCATCCCCAAATTCCCAGGTTTCTGCCTCAGTTTCTTTCCTGGCTGTCTCCTCCTCACCACCGGGCTTTTTCCCGTGCACCAGTGACCTTTAGTAAACCTGGGGCCACTTGATCTTAAGTAACCTCAAGCCTCAGTTCCTCAGCCCAGCTCGCTCTCTTGCTCGTCTACTGGTTCTAATCCCAGTCCTGGCAACTTTCACTCCCGGCAACTTTCACTCCCAGCAACTTTTAGCCCCTACACTTTCACTTTCTCTCTTACCTTAACCTTCCCCCAGGTATCCCAACTACACGAAGCACATACATCCACATCACAACACCCAGGTTAGGAACTCACCTGTGTGTATGTGTAGGTGAGTGGTATGTATGTTAACTGATATACATGTATGTCACTGTGTGCATGATATATGAATTAGTGATCTGTGTATGTGTATTGGGTGTGCAGGTATTGGTAATTGATCCTGGTCTAATTTCTTTTGTTCTGTATGGTATGTGTAGGTTCTTGGATTGGTGATAGGTCTGCATATGCCTAGGCTGGTAATTTTGACTGTGTATGGGCCTGAGTTGGTAGTGTGTGTGCGCACGCCTGGTGGGGGTGTATGCACCTAATTGATTTTTGAGTGTGTTTATGTGCAATTGTGTCACACCCTCCCATCTAATAGAACAACTTTGAGATCCTGAGAGTTAGCCTGGCCCCTCAGGACAACAAAAGCAAATTCATCAAGGCATGGTGGGAAAATGAAGGGGTGACTGCCCACAGTTAGCAGAGTGGAAAGGGCTGAAGGGACTCCAGGGGCTTCATGGCCACCCCTGAAGACCACCCTATTACATATGTAAAATGCCTTCTTAATTCTCTGGAGCTTTAAGCAAAGATGATCCATTAGAATCAGATCCCACATCCTCAATTTTCTTCTTCTGCCAAGGATGAACAATTGGTGAATGTTGGTCTTTTCTGCTATTGTTCTCTTCTGTTTTTGTTTTTATGGCCTCCTCTACACATTATACTTATGGCATGATAAACCATGTAATCATGTCTTAAGTTATGACCCAGCTACATATTCAACCAATTAATGGTGTGATTAAATAAGCACTAAGGTACAAAATTATTTTAAAGAGCATAATACTTTTGTTGCTTGTTCTAATCACATAAGGGCAAATCTTGCCTTAATTAATTAATTATGTGGCCATGTGCTCCCCTGTGGCTGGAAGCTTCATCAACAAAGGGGCTCACAGCCACAGGAGTGCATCAATTTCTGTGAGACCTGCAGCTGCAAGACCCTGTGAGCTTCCCCTGTTGCAGGGATTATAGTGGGGATAGCATCTTTGGCTACAGGACTTGCACAGTCAGCAATAGGGAGAATGCTGCCCCTGCTGCAAGTGTTGTGACGTGTTGGGTTTGCAATGGTGGTAGCATTCCTCTGCACTGCAGTCTCTGAGAATCCCTTGTCTTGCATGGCTCCCAGCAGAGGAAACATTCTCCCCACTGTTGCCACTGCAGGCCCTGCAGTGACATGGACTGTGGGGCTCACAGTGAGGACAGCATGGAGAAATGCTGCCACCATTGCTGATAAGTTCAGACAGCATGGAGTGAGTACCATTATTTGTCCCGATGTGTAAATCAGTAGATCAAAAAAAGAAAGGATGAAAATTGTTGAAAAAAGGCATTATCCAACTTCCAAGTGTCATTAAAAACAAAGAGCTGGGTCAAATAAGAAAACTAGTGCAATACAATTACATTGTTCTTAATACTTCTCCAATTTCATTAGTCTATAAGGTGCTCATCCATCCTGCCTTCTACATTGCTATTTTATGGTCTTAACTTTTTCTTGTTTACAGTATTTCTAGAAGCATTCTGAAAGACGGCAGAATCTTCCCCCCCCACACTAATCCTGAGTTCACTTCTGAGAAATTCAGTTGATGAGGTCCAAGGACAGAAGAGTCACAGATGCTCAGCGACTACAGATTGTATTTGTTTGGAGGGTGGGAATTGTAAGGTATTATGTCATTCTCCTGGGAAGCAGCTTTTTGATCAGTATGAACCTGTGACTCAGTCCTGCATTGACTGTTTATCACAGACAGTTCCATCTGTGACCACCTGTATGTAGGATTATATGAAAGAGGAAGAATAATGCTTTGGGGAAATGGTTTCATAATTTATTTATTACATACTAATCTCAAAGCATATTAATTTACTGGGGGAATTGGTACATCCTGTTCATTTTACTTCACTGCACTGTTTCTTAGATTATGGGACTTGTCTTATAATTGTAAAATAGATCATTTTCACCTCTTACCTTAAATTTTAGATATTTAGAAATTCATAATATGTTGGAAAAGGTCATTTGATGTTTAAATAATTAGGTCCAGATTCTGATTTTTTTGGGAAGGAAAATATGTAAGTGAAAAATATTGAACAATAATCAGGATAGTAATACTTGTCCTAGATCACCTCAGGATATCCACATTCCCTGTTCAGTTACTATAAAATCATTCCAAGATCAATAAATACTAATAAAGTAACCCAAGTTTATGCATTTTAGAAGAAATCAGCACTGACCTTATGTTTTGTGATTTGACACTACTGCTATTAAATTAAGTTATTTGAGTCTCTGCCAGGTGCAGATGAGTCACCACTCTACAAGCAGGTCATTTATGCTTGTGGGAAGCCATCCTTGGCCTAAACAAACTTTGAAGGCTAGTGTAGCCCAGGTAAC